TGCTGAAGAGAAAAGCAGGTTTTATGTCATTGACTGTTAATCTTCCATAGTCAAGAACTAGAACTGCCCAAGAGACAACCTGATAACACAGAGAGGGTGCCTTCCAAGCAAACACGTGTTTAAAATGCAAGCAGGAAGCGGAGAGAAACGCAGTTTCCCAATAAACTGGTTTACAATGAGCAAAGACTAATTGACATCAGGTGCACTTTTAAGCCCCTGACCACTCCTAAAGTCCAGGCAACACAGTCAGTGAGAACTTTGCCACAGTCAGAATGCCTTAAAAACATTTTTAGTTACAGTTAAGGTTACAAAGATGTGAAAGATCTACTTGTCTTAGTAAAAGTAGGAAGAACAATTCTTTCTTGAAACAAGTTCAATGACTTTCAACTCAAAATCTACAGACCAGTGCAGATCTGTGGACTACTTCACTATAAAGAATGATGAAAAAAGCAGCATTATATACATGTCATAATTACATTATACAAAAAAGTCCTAAAACTGTGTGCACACCACTAGACATTTTCTAGGGGTCTACAAACAATAGAGAGGCTGATAACATATCTCATAGTTTCAAGCAGATTAACTTCAACCCTACCAAAAGCCTGGCATTCTCACTTTACCTGCTGATTACTTATATTGGTAGTTATGAAAAAAAGGAATGAACTTAATTAAGATGCAAGGGTGGAATACTGCAGTTAGATTGTAGGCACTGTTGGATCTAAACTACAAAGATCCATTTATTTGTGCAAGTCTGAACAAGCCAGGAAGGAAGGCAAAGAAAGAATGCTCAAATTTATTCACCTGGGCTTGCTGATCTGAGGCCAGCACTGTGGCAGAAACCCCAGACTGTGCTGGTCATGGTTCATGGAAGCCTTTCCAACAGCTCAAATGGTCCAAGCACTACATCTTCCCTCCAGCCTATCTGCTATTCCAATTGGGGTGACAACAGGGTGCATCAAAGAAAACCCAAAGTGTCATCTGTTTGGCCATTACCAGCAGCTAAGATGCTTTTTTTACCTACTTTGTGCATCAGAATAGGACCATAGAAAGTTACTGCTTTCTTATTTGGGCCAAAAGAGATACATCACTTACCTCCCTCACATAAAGCACCAGAGCAGGAGAGCAGCACACACTCTGCTGTGGTATCGCCCAGCAATGACATTTGCATTGTATACCACAGTTTAACAAAGGCTCTTTGATTTCTGTGCAGTGCAGTGCTCCTCTGGACTGTTCTCTGCCTTCATGCTACCCATTCCCCTTTGATTCATTTAAATCCAAATACATTCAGAAGCATTTCTTGCCACTGCATCTCCCTGCTGAAAATACCAGCCATACAAATTCTGTTTCTGCATCCACAATACTGTAAATCATATACATCAAGAAAGTGGAACATGTGCTTTTTTTGCACCATTTCTGTCCAAAGGAAACCCACTACTTCTGCCAGCAGCACTGTTCCTCTTCATCCTTCTCTTCCCCTGGAATTTTCATTGAGCTGGAGTTCCTCCTAGACCATGATGCTGACTCCACAGCAGTGCTCCATCTACAAGCAGATGCTCAACATTTTATATGGTCCAGAGGCCAGTGGGAGTTTTTTGCATCAGTTTTCAGATCCAAAAGGTATGTATCAATTTGGCAGAGGGGAATGAGATTTTTCCTCTGCAGATTGTTTCATTTGCCCCTTAATATAATGATGATGCATAGCTTTTTTTGTTTCCCTTCTAGATAACCTATAAGCTTTTTTCTATGTATTAAAAATGGATTCATATATGCTAATGGGAGAGCAGGATTACACACATACAGAGGACTTCCAGGTGGTTAATCTGGGGTACTAGGATTCTCCATTTCATTTCTGTGCAAATGCAAGGAAAACATGGCCATGCTGATTACATGCTTGTATAGCAGCCAGTTACAGACCTGTGACTTTGCTCTGTCAAAGCAGCTTCGGCACTGAAGTCATCAACAGGAAATGAACTGGAGAGAGATGGGGGCTAGAATGGCCTCTGAGGCACAGAAATATTATTGCCTCCGTCTTCTCCACAGAAGTGCCACTAGACACACATCCCAACTCATTCTCTCACTCATGAGAAGTGTGGATCTTGGAGCACAGCTGGGATCTCAGGAGGCTGACACCCTTCACATAGCATCCTAATGAGGATCATTCCCTGCTATCACACTTCCCCCTTACAGAATCCTCCCTCCTCACAGGTCTATTATTAGTAACTATGAATAAATTGCCTTCCAGCTCCAAAGTCTTCACAAAAAACCAAACACAACATGAAA